TAAATTTTGATAGAAACAGAGAGGGTCTGTGGCATTTGCGTCGTAGCCTACTCTAATCCCTATAGCTAAGCTAGTGTGCAGGAAGCGCCACCGGGGACAGCGGTGTTCTCAAGAAGACAGAGGCCCCTCTTCCTTAGCTCCTAGTAGAGGAGGTTTTGCTCCAGAAGGGGCAGGCAACCCATATTCCCCCCAGCTCTGTGTTACAAGATGCTAGATTCTAGGCAAGCATAGCACAGAGAACTTGGGTTCACTTCCCCTACTCATTGGGTGGAAACTGTGCCTGGGGAATGGCAGGCTGCAAATACTGGATCTCATGTGTCCCCACCCTTGCTCACTCCTAGGGAGGAGATACCATGCCAGGAGGAGCAAGCAGAGAAGCCCAGGGGCTAGCATCTTTGCCTACCGCTGCACTTGTAGAATAGCGCTGTCACTCTGAGAAGTGGGCTGTTCCAGCTCCAAGTTCAAGTGCAATGGCACGGAGGTTGGAATCAGGGGAAGGCAGGTCAAGAACACAGATCTTGGCCACTCTGCCTAAAGGTTCTGGCTTTATTGGCACAGAGCATGGGGATGTACCTGCCTGAGGGCATTGTGGAAAACAACAGAGATCTTAGGAGTAAACAGAAGGAAGGTGGTGGTTTCCTGACATTAGTAGCGACAATAGCCCTGCTAGACGTGTAACCGTCAGGGTAAGAGACTGAGAAGAGCCTTGTTGGGGTCAGACTGAGCCTCAAGGATGGTGAACACCACGTTCCTGCAAAGGAATTGAACTTAATTGGATAAGACTATGGAGCAAATTGTGGCCCCAGGCATTGTTACACATAACAGAGCAAAGGGCGAACAATTAGCGAAGGCTAATAGCAGGGTGTGACACAAATACAGACAGACGGAAGCTTAAAGGGGAGACCCGGGAAAGACAAGACCAAAGAAAGCCCCATAACCACAACCATCCCTGGGAGTCAGGGATTATATCAGAGACTGCACACTGAAGGGGAACAGACTTGACGAAACTAGTCCAGACAAGTCACTAAACAAAAAGCAAATAATCACAAGCGTGGGGATGACTGTCTTGAGTAACTACAATGTATTATCTAAAATATCCAGTCTTGAACAAAAATTATAACACCTACCAAAAAGAAAAAAGAAGAAGAAAGAAAAAGACCCATATACAGGGAAAAACAAGCAAACACTAGAAACTGCTTCGGGAGGGACTAGTTACTGGCCTAACAAATATTTCAAAGCAACTGTTATAAGTGAGTTCAGTGACATCTGTAAAACACTCCGCTCAACAAGAACAAAATGCAGTCTTCTCAAATGCACCCAGAGGACTGTCCGTGCTGGGGCCACACAGTAAGCCTCAATATATTTTAAAAGGATTTACCAAAAAAGTGTTGAAAGGATTTAAATTATGTAAAAGATGTATTCTCTGACCACAATCAAATTAAATTAGAAATCAATAAGAGAAGGAAATGTAAGAAATTCCTAAGTGTGTAGAAATTAATCAGTTCACTCCTAAGCAACAGATGGGCTAAAGAAAAAATTACAAGGAAATTTAGAAAATAGTTTAGGGGCCAGCTTACGGCTCCGGCATCCCATATGGGTGCTGGTTTGTGTCCTGGCTGCTCCTCTTCCCATCCAGCTCTGTGCTGATGGCCTGGGAAAGCAGTGGAAGATGGTTCAAGTGTTTAGGCCCCTGCACCCACATGGGAGACCCAGAGGAAGCTCCTAGCTCCTGGTTTCGAATCTGCCCATCTCCAGCCATTGTGCCCAGTGGATGGAAGACCTCTCTCTGTCTCTCCCTCTCTCTGTAACTCCACCTCTCAAATAAATAAATAAATAAATCTATCTTTAAAAAAATAGTTTGTGAATGAAAACAAAGGCACAATATAGCAAAACTCATGATGCTCTTCTATCCACTGGTTCACTCCCCAAATGCCTGCCATACCCGGGGCTAGGCCAAGCCAAAGTAAGGAGCCCAGAACTCAATCCAGGTCTCCCACATAGGTTGAAGTTGTACTTTGGAAATTTATATTTATTAAATAAAAGGGCCCCAAGTACCTGAACCATCATCTCCCTTCACAGGTGTGCATTAGCAGAAAGCTATAATTGGAAACAGATCCAGGACTAGAACTCAGGCATTCTGATATCAGATGTGAGCATCCCAAGTGACATCTTAACCACTGCACCAAACACCTGCCCCTCTCATCACTTTGATCCACTGCTGAACTGAACAAGGCAATTAAGAACTGGAGATCAGGTGCCTGTGCTGTGGCACAGTAGATTAACCCTCAACCTGTGGAGCCAGCATCCCATATGGCCACTGGTTCGAGTCCCAGCTGCTCCATTTCTGATCCAGCTCCCTGCTAATGCACCTGGGAAAGCAGCAGAAGATGGCCCAAGTCCTTGGGCCCCTGCACACACATGAGAGACTGGGAAGAAGCTTGTGGCTCCTGGCTTTAGATCAGCTCAGCTCCAGCCGTTGTGGCTATTTGGGGAGTGAATCAGCAGATGGAGGACCTCTCTCTCTGTCTCTACTTCTCTCTAACTGTTTCAAATAAATAAAATAAATCTTTAAAAAAATATTGTTAGGATAGCAATAGTACCCAAATTGATCTGGAGATTCAAGGCAATGCCAACTAACATCCTGGCTGCTTTTTGGTAGAAATTGACAAACCAGTCCTAAAATTCACATGGAAATTCAACAGACAGAGAATAGATAAAATAATCTTGAACAAGGATGACAAAGTTGAAGAACTCATATTTCCCAATTATAAAACTTCCTACAAAGCTACAGTAATCAAAATTATTTAGTACTGACATAAGGATAGACAGAAAGATTTTGGAACATAAATAAGGATCTAGAAATAAGTCCTCATATTTATGACCAATTGATTTTTGATAAGGGTGTCAACAAATTCAATATGGATTTTTTTTTTTTGACAAGAAGAGTTAGACAGAGAGAAAGGTCTTCCTTCTGTTGGCTCACCCCCCAAATGGGTGCTACAGCTGGCGCGCTGCGCCGATCTGAAGCCAGGAGCCAGGTGCTTCCTCCTGGTCTCCCATGAGGGTGCAGGGCCCAGGGACTTGGGCCATCCTCCACTGCCCTCCCGGGCTACAGCAGAGAGCTGTCCTGGAAGAGGGGCAACCGGGACAGAATCTGGCGCCCCAACCGGGACTAGAACCCGGTGTGCCGGCGCCGCAAGGCAGAGGATTAGCCTAGTGAGCTGTGGCACCGGCCAATTCAATACGGATTTTAACAAATGTTTCTGTGATAACTAGATATTCATGTAAAACAGAGTGATTACAATATCCTACCTCAAATTATACACAAATATTAACTCAAAATGGATCCAACACCTAAATGTAGGAGCTAAACCCATAAAACTCTTAGAAGAAAACTTCTTAAAGAAGTAAATCTTTAAGAATTTGGGTTAGGTAACTGCTCAGATACAACACCAAAAACACAACCAAGCGACCAAAGAGAAAAACACATAACTTGTACTTCATCAAAATTAAAAACTATTGTGCTGAAAAGGCACCATTAAGAAAGGGAAGAGATAAGCCACAAAATGGAAGAGAAGATTTGCCAGTAATATATCTAATAAGGGATTTGCCAGTAATAAGTCTAATTCTGAGTAATAATTGCCAGTAATATATCTAATACAAAGAACTTATAAAAACTCCTACAATGAAATACCTAAAGGATAATAACTCGATTTTTGAAATGGGCAAAGGATTTGAGTAGACACAATGTCCAGAAAAAACACACAAAAAGATATTCAACATGATTAGTCATTAAGGAACTGTAAATCAAAACCTCAATGAGACTGGACCTCATGTCCTCTAGGATGGCCATAATCAAAAGGATAGATAGCGGTGCACATCTGGCCCAGCGATTAAGCCACCACTTAGGATGCCTGCATCCCATACCAGAGTGCCTGGCCTCTAGTCACAGCTCCACTTCCAATTCCAGCCTCCTGCTATTGTGCACCTGGGGAGGCAGCAGATGATGGTCAAATATTTGAGTCAGTGTTACCCACATGGGAGAGCTAGATCAAGTTCCAGGCTCCTAGCTTCTGCCTGGCTCAGCCCTAACTGCTGTAGACATTTGAGGAGTGAAACAGGGGATGGAAGATCTTTGACTCTGTCTCTGTGAATTACAAATAAATGAAATTTTTTTACAAAACAAACAACAACAATTGTTAGAATGTAGAGAAATTGGAACCCTCATACACTGCTGGTGGGAATGTAAAATGGTCCACCTACTTGGGAAATCAGTTGGCAATGTTCTAATATTAAACTTTAGAGTTACCTTATGACCCAGCAATTGCACTCCTATGTATCTATCCAAGAGAACTGAAAATATATGTGAACATAAAAACTTGCATGTGAATGTTCTTAGCAGCATTACTCATAATAGCCAAAAAGTGGAAACAACCCACATGTCCATCAATTGATGGTTGAATAAATACAAAGTGTTCTAACCGTACAAGGGAGTATTACTCAGCAACAGAAAGAAATGAGGTACCAAAGTAAGTTGGAACGTGGATGAAACTCAACAACATTGTGCTGAGTGAAAGAAGCCAGCCACATATGGTGCATGTCCATGTGTACAGCATGTTCAGAAAAGACAAATCTATACAGACAGAAATTAGATTAGTGGTCGCCTAAGCCTGTGGGTGGGGCAGCAAGGGAATGGGGAATAACTGCTAATGGGTCTGGGGCTGCTTTTTCAGTGATGAAAATGTTCCAAAACTCGACTGTGGTAATAGTTGTACACTATGCAGAATATACTAAAAACATTGCAGTATATTCTTTAAGTGGGCAAGTTATATGGTACATGAATTACATCTCAAAGCGTTAAAAGTATCGTAAAGAATGCAGAGAAAATGACATGGTCTGCTCATCACGGTAAAGTCACTTTTTATCCACATATTACAAGGAGCAACATCATCTATGCTGGTGTCTTTGTTGCCACTCTGGTGAACACTTTGATTACCTACCTGCTCCCATTCGTGCTTTGATAGCTGTTCAGAAAAAGAGTCATTTTGTTCGGTTTTATCTGGCATATTAATGGTGACACCTAGTTTATTTTTCTTCAAGTTGGAGGCATTGTCTCCAATTATTGACATTGGTGGCATCAGCACAGATTTCATCTACAAAACAAATTCACACTTTAGTGAAACCCTCTGCCTATAGTGCTACAATACAGGATCCCCAATGTAGTGCCTCAACCCCGTGAAAAGCCAGCAACCTTCTCCACCTCTCCTCTATCTTCTGGAATCACTGGTGGCTGCAGGGGGGCCCTGTTGGGTTGTTTGTGCATTTCCAAGTGTGGTCGTTGCTCTACAGGGAAGGACTTCTTCCATTAGTGTTTCTCAGGGTCCCCGAGGTACAGAGGGAAGTGCTAGCCATGCGCGCAGGCACTGGCACAGGACAAAGAAGAGTCTAGAGGCAGAGCAAAGTCTCTCCTTCCGAGCCTTCTCAAGGGGCTTGGAGGAGTTCAGAAACCCCTCTCAGGAGGTTGGCTGCTTTTCATTCTGCTGCATTCTCCAGGAGAAACGAGAAAAAGTACAGCTGCGTCCAGGAAAGTTCTCAGCAGGAAGATAGATTGAGAACTTGGTGGTGAGCCCTTCAACCTAAATGCAGTGTAGTTTGCAACCTGACCCTGACCCTCTACTCCTCGTTACAACCTTGCTATGTTCCTCTGGAAAAGAAAATGTCTTTCTGACACAAAATTTGGTCTCAGCTATTATGAGCAAGTTCATAGACTGCTCTTCCTCCCAGCAAATGATCTCAGGTCTTAGGCAGAGCAGAGTATTCTGGGAGGACCCTCTGGACTCAGGCCCCTATACCTGACTTCTGATAAGCTCATTGGGTAAGGCCACAGGGTCCCTTCAGTATGTATGGCTCTGAAGTTTTCAAAACCACTTAGGATCAAGTTATTTTGCCCTTCACCAAAACACCATGCTGCCATTTTCTCCAGGGGTGGTGAGGTGGCGGGGAGGCTACTAGCTATTCTTTCCCATACCCCTGCTGACTCTCACTCTTATGGAATCTTCCTTCTCTGTCCCTCTGCATTGACATGCCACCTGCCTACCTTACAAAATACTTTTGATGAACCTAGACTGGAGGTTGTCATCAACTTGGTCCAACTTTATCCTTCCCCAGTCAACAATTATCCCACAACCACAGGTGTAAACCACTTAGTATGGTCACCCCTATAGTCGGAGGGTCCTATGGGATGAAAAACCTAGGGTTATAAAGGTGAACTTGAAAATCTGCTTTTGTATCTCATCTGATAGCACTGCAAAGGCTTGAATCTGTTACTCTCATTAAGTGCTCAATAATATTTAATACAAGTACATAGTACTGGTTCAACTTCACTCTACAAGGAGGAGAATGCACAAAGCATATGTATATTAAATTTCTATCTTTAAAACCAGTCTGTGAACAGGCAGAACAGTCATCCCTGACAGGGGGTGAAATTCGAGGTATCCTGGGAAAATTGCTGACCCAAAAACTTTTCCCCTAGGTCTATTCTTGGTGACTAAAATTCAAACTTTAGATCCAATCTCAGTGTCTCGAAAGGCCCTAGAAAGGGCAGGCCTGCCTGGGGAAAGTAAAAGTCATCCTTCTCATGAATCAGTATAGGCTGCCATGGCTGACGAGTGCTGGAGTGTCAGGGTGGGTGGTGGTGGAGTAGAGCATCCATGCCATGTGCTTGCCACATTTGACAAAAACATCATGTTCCTTGCTCTTGGCTAGAATCATATCCACTTAACTATGTTAACACTGACTAGCTCATCTTCACCAAAATGTCTTCTTGGCTTCACTATTTGCTGATATCATGAAAAAGGTGCCTTCAAGTTAGCACGGCCTTAAAATGTATTGCAGCTGGGATATTTTTGAGAGTAAAAGGAGGTGTTATTAACAATTACATCAGAACTACAGGGTAAACCAGGAGGGATGCCCCTCACTCTGTGAGGGAAGGGAGGTATATGAAATCATCAGGGAATCAGGAAGGAGGCTGTAAAAGGTCTCTATCGAGCTTTGCCTTAGGTTTGCCCTGCTTTGGTCTAAATCTCTTAGGAGATAGTCAGCAGATATTAAGTACTTATGATCTATCAGGTGCTGGGGCTTACATCAATGAACTAGAGAAACGGGAAGGGAGTAAACAGCTACTACCACAATTGCTTATTTAATTTTGGTAACGATTGTGAAGGCTATGTACAAGAAGCTGGAATCTGAGTTAGACCTAAGGCTGTACTGAAGGTGAAATTCAAAGGATGAGAAGACAGTAGTAACAATAATATCACTCTTACCTGCACAAAGGCTTCAAAAACTCAAGGTGCATAGGGGTCACATTTCTGTCTCTATCAGATTAAATTCCACCTCTAGCCCCTATCTGCCCAGATTGGCTGGAAGTTCGTGATCAGTCCTGACGTGTAATGGTTCAGATTTTCCACTAAGACCAGATACCATGATTTGACTCCAAGCTGCTCTTGGTCCTCATACCCGTATAGTACCTACTTTGCTCATAGCCTGGGGTCTTTTGCTTGGGTCTGGTAGAGAAGGAAGACACCTTCAGTCACCCTGCAAGGCCTGTCCAAGGAGCCCTCGATTAGGTGTGCTCTTTATAAGTAACACACAGCCACTTCCTTCAGAAGTTCTGTATAGGTTCCTGCTAGCTGTATCATGTTTAATATGATTATTTAGTGGAAAACATTTAAAAATTATCCCTAGCCATTGGAAGAATAAAGGAAATCATATCAATTCACTTATTTGAGTAGCGAAACTCACAGAGACAAAAAGTAGAATTAGAACAGAGATTATTAGGGACTGGAGGGAAGGGGGTGTGGAGTTAGTGTTTAATGGATATAGAGTTTCAGTTTGGTAAGATGCAAAGTTCTTAAAATGAATGTTGGTGAGAGAAATGATGGCTGGACAACAATATAAATGTACTTAATGCCTCTGAACTATAGACTTCAAAATGGTTACAGTAATACATTTTATGTCATGCATATTTCACAACATAAATGAATGAACTGAGATTGAAGTTTTCCAAAAATCAGGATTTTTTGCTTATAGACACTACATGAAATGCCAACATATCCTTATTTTCCCCCTTTCGGCATGAATTTTAAAAAGTTTTTCTTATGTAGAAGTTACCCACTTTGTTATCATGTAATCATAGTTTTTCTTAAACTTTGTACTGATCTTTTTACAATTACACCCTCAAACACATTTCAAATAATAAATGAAAAGAAGCACACAGTCCCCTTTGTACATCTGAGACAAGATTCACGCAAACATTGCTTCTTACTTTGTTTCTTTGTACACGGTGGAGTAAACACAAGTCTGTGGAATCAGATATCCCACCATGTATGACCAGGATCTCATTGTCAATGATCGTACCAATTGGAAGCCAGGTATAGACTTCTTCCAACATTTGTAAGATTTTCTTCCCATGTATCTGCAAGTAAGAGAGCTTGTGTAAGTTTTGTTTTTCTGATAGGTTCAGCTCATTGAATAGTCCCTGCATATGGCCAAAAAGCAACAGTCCTCATGCCACCCCAAGGAAGTTATCACAGAGTTGCTGACTAACTAGTATGAATTAATCATTTCTTTTTATTTGGTATTTCTGATACTGTGTTTTGGGGGGGCCTTGCCATTCCTGGAGGAGAGATCATCCCTCCCAAGGGTAGCTAATTCCTAGACAGCAAATAACTTGCCTTTCATATGCAAACCAGCCAACCCAGGGCATAAACACACACACACACACACACACACACACCCCAAACTCCATTACTGAGCTCTCATCCTCAGGACCACTATGTCTCTGTTTTAATCACCCCATGGCCTATTAGTGCCAGACAACTAGGGACAACCCCTATGCCCTAGCATAGGTCGAACTTACTAACAACTAGTCAATCCTAAACTGGCTTACACTGAGGTACCTTGCCTGTCCCTCCTAGGAAAACTATGATAAAGGCCTTTGCCTGTGTTTTCCCCTGGCTCCCTTTGCCTTCCCTTGGACGCTGGTACTTCCCCATTGGGTTCCCTCAGTGTGACATATAGAGCCTCCTGTTTCTAGGGGACTATGAATAAAAACCTCTCCCTTCTTGAGAGTCATTTCTATGTGTATGACTTTTACTATACGTGAGCACAACAGATCCCAGGTACATTTAAAGCAATGGAATATGTTTGTATCTATGCCAAAACTGAAACAAAAGTCACAATGAAGAAGCTTGGGTTAGTCCAGAAAGACTCCACCACGTCCAGAGCTTCCTGCTGGTATAGATTCTGATTATTGGTCCATCACCTTTCCTAAATCTTCAGGCTGGTCTTCACTATCTTTTTCTTTGCTTTCTATTTTTTTACACTTCTATGCATAAACAACAGAGAGAATTCAACATAAAATAAAATAAAAAAGTCAGTCTTACCTTGTATTTATGCAAAACTTCTCTTGTGAAGCCGTACCTGAAAAAAAAATGGATTTATGCTATCTAACGAATTGTTGAGAACTCCCACTTACATATGTCATGCAAAAAGAAGAGCCCTTGACATCCCTCTATCACAAGTACCAAGAACACAGTTGGAACTTTCACTTACCCAAGTCTGTGCGAGGCATGATGTGAAAGAACAAGAGCAATCATTGACATTGGCTTTACCCTCAAGGAACTTACGGTATGGTTGGGGGGAAAAGACAGGTTTTCATGAAACAGTCACAACACAGCTTAGGAGCTAGGTGATAGATGCAGGTTGTGTAAATGCCACAAGTGTTCAGAAAAGGGTGATACTGCAGGAGCTGGAGGAGGCCGTGTGGGAGAAGGCTTTTCACTGGCAGAATTTCTCAGACATCCTATGTCTTAGAGTAAATTACTAGGAAAAAAAGACTGAACAAAGACGAAGAAAAGCCTAGAAGATAACAATCTGGCTTTTATGCTTTCTCTGAAACAAGTCATGTCATGTAATGATATTGAAGGTTTTAATAAAAAATATCAGGAATTTTAATATCTGAAAAGCAGAAGCTGAGTGATTTAATTATGGAAATTTTTAAAATTACTTGTCCTAGCTTTCAAATAATAGTATGTACCCTTAATACCCAACATGGGAAATCTGGAACATACCATACCCCAGGTTTCCATGAAAATCATGTCATGTCAGGCTTCTACAGTGTAACGTGACGCTGTCTGAGATGAATTATATCCTGTGCTCCAAAGCATCCATGTGATTAAGTCTAAAGGATACTCTGTAGTCTTCACCTTTCTTGTCTTCTTGGAAACACTAAATATAGTTGACTACACTGTCCTTCTGCACAACTCTTCTTCTCTTGTATTTTGTGACAGCAAACTCTTTGTTTTCCTGCTACCTTTCTGGCTATTCTGAATCTCCTTTGCAAACTCCCTTCCTCTTCCTCATAGCCTTAAACATTGGACTTGCTTCAGATTCTGTCCCAGGCCATCTTCACCCTTCACTTTCTCCATTAGCAGTTCCATCTGTGGCCCATCAGGGTTTCCATGACTAGCCAATGTCAATACCCCAGGATAATACTTCAGGCCACACTTCATTTATCATCTCTGCACACAATACTCAACCGCCTACTCAACAGTACCTCAAATCAGCTTCTTCCAAACTGAACTCATCGTTCTCCCTCATCCCAACCTTCTCTTCTTTCCATGTTCCCCATATCAATGAATGATGTTGCTGTATCTCCAAACTCAAGCCACAAATGTGTGATTTCTTCCTCTTTCAAGTCCCCAGTACCAAGTTACTCAGCCTTAAATCATTATTCCCTAAACCCTTCTTGAATTTATCTGTTTCTTTGCATCTCCATTGCTGCCACCCTGGTTTAAGTGAGAACTCATCATCTATCTCTTTATTTCCTGACTGACCTCACTGGATCCACTCTTGCCTGTTTTCAAATCACTCTTTCTACATTTTATGATACTCTTCGATGGTATTTTGTAGTCTCTGGCTACCACCATATTTTTATAGGAGAATCCTCTGTTACCCCTTAAACGAGATTGGACCCTCTTTACAAACTCATCACACTTGGGGTGGGCATTGTGGCACAACAGGTTAAGATGCTGTTTTGAATGCCATCTCATATCAGATCCTGGTTTGACTCCCAGCTACTCCAGTTCCCATGCAGCTTCCTATTAATGCACTTGGGAAGCAGTAGGTGATGGTTTTAGTGCCTGAGTCCCTTGCCACCCATGTAGGAGACCTAGATGGAGTACCTGGCTCCTGGCTTTCGTCTGGCCAAGTCCCAACTGTTGTGGATACCTGTGGAGTGAGCCAGGGGATGGATCTCCCTCCGTCTCTCTCTCTCTCTCTCTCTCTCTCTCTCTCTCTGTCTCTTTTTAAATAAATCTTTAAAAGGAAAAAAAAAACCTCATCACACTTGAAAAACCTGCTCAATATGTGTCTTCCCTGCTAGATGAAAACTGCATGAGGGTAGGGACCATGTCTATTTTGTTAACTGTTATAGGTACTAGATAAATATGATTAGCTAACTAAATAAATGAAAGGATAAAAGATGTATCCAATTAAAAGTATGGTGCTATATGGGCCTCTGATAATAGTCTTAGGATTTTTGTTGTCATAGTCTCACAATTCTCCTCCACACCTTCAGAATTATATTTGAAACTCTATACTCAGACAAGATGCCAAAACTGCCAAAAAGACAAGTCTACTCAGTTGCTGAGCCTTGACCAAGACACCCAAAAGCCCAGGACCAAAAGTATGAGACACGTTATACCTTCCACTACCCTGGTACTAACTGATTTCTGTTACTCATAAAATGAGGGATGAAAAAGAAAAGGAAAAGGGAACATTTGTCAACTACTGTGCCCTCCTGCAAAAATTCTCAAAACATTTAACCAATTTTTATTTCTCAAATTTCCAGTGAGTCACAGAGCTGAAATGCTATGCCACAGCTGTTCTCAAATATGTTTATGAACAACTATGCCAGAGCAATTACCATGTCATAAAAAATACACACATCAGTGAAAAACATGGTACAGATTTTCTGAGAAAACATCTGGGGCAAGCAAAAAGTAGCAAGAGAGCAAGTCCCTCTAAGTCTGTTCAGGGAGCCTACCACCTCCGACCGTGGCCTACCACCCAAGTTGACCTGTGAAGAGTGGACATGGGAGCAAGAGAAAGAACATGATGGAAGGAAGAACAGAGCTAGTGGAAGAGCTAGGAAGAGGGCTTCAGAGCAACTGAGAATTCCTCAGGAGAAGAGCAGGGCCTGTGAACAATGAGAAGTAAGGTCTTCCTGAGACTCCCCTCATCCCTCCTCCTCTACCCTGCCCTCTGACTATGCTAGGCACCAAACATGGAGGCACTCTCTGGAGCAGGAACCAAGACAGGGAATCTGAAGCCTTGGTTACCTCAGATTCATCATAAAGTCTTCATGGTTGCCTCTGTTCAAGTGCAGGTTATTGGGGTACACAAGAAAACTCACAAACAGGATCATTAGGATCTCTACGGAATTTTTTCCTCGGTCTACAAAGTCACCGTTGAAGATGTATGAGTTTTTCTCTGAGGGGAGGCCATTCTGTGGAAGGAGCAGAGGGGATGGAAAACAAGCAGTTAAAAGAACGGACTTGCAAAGTAAGGCTTTCCGCATGCACAATGTCCCTGTGACCATGGAGAACAGAGAGGAGTCAGTTCTTCCTTGGTAAAAGCTCCTCACCCACTTGAGCCAGTTTTCCTTGTCTAGGGCTGGCATCTCCCGCAAGGGACCAGGAAGTGAAGAGTTGGCTTGAGACAGGAAGGTCCCAGGGAGGATGGGGTTGCTCATTCTACTCACTACTCACTACTACTCTGAAAGGAGCTGATATTTGTCCTATCAAAAATAGCTACTCTCACCCCTTCCTTCTCCCCTGAAAAGAGGGAAGCTTCGGTCAAAGAAAGACCCTTGCCTCCAGAGCCAGAAATCTTTCATATCAGGGGACCCCATAATTAATTTGTCTGGATTGAGGTTCCCTCCAACTGCAAAAGGGAAGACACCACAGGCTTCCCGAGATCACCCGAGAGATGGATGAAAGCACTCAGGCGAGCGGAAGGGGCTGCGTGACCATGAGCAGGACTGATGTGCCGCCAGCGCACACCCACACAAGCCCAGTGGCCTCTGTAGGCTGGCAGGTGTTCTGGCTGACCACTGACCAGACCATGGTAATTGTTAAATGTTTTCAATACCGATCCTGACTATGACATGATATACTGTTAAATAGTGCTACTATGAAAAGGAGATGGAGTTGGAACAAAAGACTGGCCTTCATGATAGCTATTAGTCTGGTTAGTCCTACATCCCAAAACTCTAAGACAAGACAAACACACTTAGTGTATTTTATTTTCTCTATGTCATGCCTGATAAGAAAATAGCCAAGTGCACTTCTATTGCATAGTGAGATAAACCCAAACATTTGAAGATTAAATTACAAAGAAAAACATTTAAATATTCATATATCAAAATGCATGTCTACCTTTAAAAAAGTGACCTTCAGAAATATACATATTCTAGTTACATTAAACTTCTTCAAAAACTTTTCAAATGTCTCTTTTGTTAGATTTCAAACAATATAAAAATTTAATTACTTTATACTCAGTATTCTCCTAACTATATACATTTTAATTGTTCATTTCTATATATACAAATAGTTGAAAAAATATAGGTTACAAAGCATAACTTAGGGATTCCAGAAATCACTTATGCAATGCAACATGTTCTGGAGGTAATTGGAAACAAACAAGCAAACAAACAAGTAATAAGATAACTAATTCTCTAGTCCAGTTTCACTTATAACCCGTGTGCCTTTAGGAAAGTCATTTAACCTTTATGACCTGTAGTTTCCTCATGTATAAATGGCAATCATAACTTCCATACCTACCACATGGGGCTATTTTGGAACTCAGATAAGCTATGTGTATAAAATCACATAAAAACTGTAAAACATCACACAATTACTAGATTCATTTTATTATGACCCCCAACTATTTGTAATTTGAAGATTCAATTATTTTACATTTTTTAATATATTAATTCACATAGCCTTATTTACACTGGGCTACAGTAGTATAAAACAGTTGTAAAAATACAGATTATTGCTCATCAAAACTTAAAGCAAAGGGGAAGAATTCTGCATCTTTGGTACTCTTCCTCCGTGCAGCCTTCAGCTGGCTAGGGTAAGGTGCGCTGGAGAAGCTGCAGGGCTGTTGGAGGCTATAGCTTCTGTTGAGAGGGCCAGGTTTGAAGGGAGCTAGAGGAGCAGCAGTTTAGAGTTAGAACATGGAAGAAGTAGGCTTAAGAGCCTCCTTGGGTACCTTGTTGCAGAATAGGTATGTGGTTCCAGTTGTGGGGTGAAATGTTGCATGTTATTCGAAAAAGTGTAAGGGAACTTCTTCCACAGGTGTTTAACTTAGCATCTCAAACACCACTTGGGACACCCACATCCCACATTGGAGTGCCTGGGTTTGACTCCCAGCTCTGGCTCCCAATTCCAATTTTCTGCTAAGGCAGACCCTTGGGAGGGAGCAGTGATGGTTCAAAGGGTTGAGTCAGAAATGGTGCTGGGAAAACTGGATCTCCACATGCAGAAGTATAAAGCAAGACCCCTACCTTTCACCTTACACAAAAATCCACTCAAAATAGATCAAAGACCTAAATTTATGACCCGATACCATTAAATTATTAGAGAACATTGGGGAAACCCTACAAGACATTGCCATAGGCAAAGAGTTCTTAGAAAAGACCCAGAGGCACAGGCAATCAAAACCAAAACTGACAAATGGGATTACATCCAATTCAGAAGTTATTGCACTAGAAAAGAAACACTCAGCAAAGTAAAGAGGCAACCAACAGAATGGGAGAAATTATTTGGAAACTTTGCAACTGATAAAGGATTAATATCCAGAATATACAAAGAGATCAAGAAACTCAACAACAACAAAACAACCAACCCAGTTAAGAAATGGGCAAAGGACTTAAGCAGACATTTTTCAAAACAGGAAATCCAAATGGCCAATAGACCAATAGACACATGAAAAAATGCTTAGGATCACTAGCCCTCAGGGAAATGTAAATCAAAACAACAATGAAGTTTCACCTCACCCCGTTAGAACAGCTTTCATACAGAAAATAACAACAAGTGCTGGCGAGGATGTGGAGAGAAAGGTACCCTAATCCACTGTTGGTGGGAATGTAAACTGGTGCAGCCACTGTGGAAGATACTATGGAGATAACTCAGAAATCTGAATATATACCTACCATATGACCCAGCCATCCCATCCCTGGGAATTTACTGAAGGGAAATGAAATCAGCAAATAAAAGAGTTATCTGCATGCCCATGTTTATTGCAGATCAATTCACAATAGCTAAGATATGGAATCAACCCAAATGTCCATCAACTGAAGACTGGATAAAGAAATTATGGGATACGTACACCGTGGAATACTACACAGTGGTAAAAAAAAATGAAATCCTGTCATCTGCAACAAAATGGATGTAACTGAAAAACATTATACTTAGTGAAATAAACCAGTTCCAAAAAGACAAATACCATATATTCTCCCTGATCTGTGATAACTAATAGAGCACCTAAAAGGTAATCTATAGAAGTGAAATTGACACTTTGAGATGTGATGGCTTTGAACAGCCCTTGTCTCAACTGTTAAGGAACAGGGTTGTTTTTTTTTTTTTTCATACTATTTGTTGAACTCTTTACTTAGTATAGAATTAATCTTTAATCTTATATTATAAACTTAATTGAAAATAGATCTTAGTAAAAATAAGAATGGGAATAGGAGAAGGGGAAGAAGAAGGGTGGGAGGGTGTGTAGGGATGAAAGAATCACTATGTTCCTAAATTTGTACTTCTGAAATACAAGTTTATATGCCTTAAATAAAAAGTTTCTAGGTAAAAACAAAACAAAACTGTTGAGTCCGTGGGAAACCTGGACTGAATTGTGGTTCCAAGTTTGGGCCCCCTGGCCTTTGCAGGTATTAAGGAGTGAATCAGTGGATGGGAGCTATTTCTTTCTCTCTGCTCTCAAATAAATTGAAAAATAACAACAGGCACCTAGGAACATAGAGACTTCCTTTCCTCTTCTTGATACTGGAGTAGAAACTGTCATGCCTCCACCTCTGGAGAGGCTTACCCTAGCTTAAGCAGAAAATAGAAAACAGAAATAAGCTAGCACTTAAGAGGATCCAGCAGCCAGAGAGAGACAGATCAATCAGATCTACTGGGCCAGATGGCCCCTAATGAAACAGGACTGCTGGAGGAGACAAAGGACAACTTTATTTTTAAAACAACAGGAAAACATGCATAAAATAAAGAACAAAAAGCTATTAATTCTTCGCACTAAAAATGTGACATTCAAATTTAAAATATCAATGAATTAAGGCTAACTAAAAGAAAGAATAGTTGGGAAATACACTACTGATCTGAAAGAGAAGTGGAGGAAAAAGCTCTCACCAGCAGCAAAAAGCAAAATGATAGAAATCACAAAGAATGAGCACAAGACTAGACTTCAACCAGAATCAGGAAAAGGGAACAGATGAAAAGAGGGAATCATTGCAAAAATTTGAGAGGGAATTTGCTATGTTTAGAAAGAGACTTCAGTCCCAAGTTGGAAAGAGATAACGACCCCTACCTATACACAACTAACTAATGGGAGGGGGAGGTTCACTATTACTTGGTTTAAAAAAAAAAAGTCTCAAAAGAGGCCAGACAGAAATTACAAAGGGAAAGAATCAGCCTGCTGTGAGACTTCTTCTCTGTGGAAGGGGGAGGGAGGAGATGGCAGAATAAGGATATGAAACAAGAATTCTGTATTAACCAAGACATCATTACTATCTCAAGGTGATAGAAAAATGTTTGCCAACATGTAAGGGAACAAATGTCAATAACAAAATGAATGTTCTTCAGAGTGAATGAAGACACATGAAATTATATAGGGATCTAATATTACAAAAAACAATGGACCTATACAGATTGCTTGTTATATATCAGGTACAGTTTTTGGAGCTAGGACCACAGAAGTAAATGATACAAAGTCTGAGCATTCAAGAAGTTTGCATTCAGAGAATAGCACGTGCATGCCCCATAGACAAAACACTCAAGAAAATAATCAAATAGCAATTGTAACAGTGAAAAGTCCTCAGGCTAGGGAACGACCAGGAGGAAAGAATACAGATGTGAAAAATGAACCATGAAATGTATAATTAAATATAAATCAGTGTGATAACCTGGAACTTGCATTTAAGTACTAAGCAAGTATTCTAGAAATAGAAGAGACATTATAAAGGAAAACCTAATGATTTCTTTTTTTTTTTTTTTAATTTTTGACAGGCAGAGTGGACAGTGAGAGAGAGAGACAGAGAGAAAGGTCTTCCTTTTGCCCTTGGTTCACCCTCCAATGGCCGCCGCTGCAGCCGGCGCACCGCGCTGATCCGATGGCAGGAGCCAGGATCCAGGTGCTTTTCCTGGTCTCCCATGGGGTGCAGGGCCCAAGCACCTGGGCCATCCTCCACTGCACTCCCTGGCCATAGCA